GAGACTTATTCCAATGTTAAAGATATTTAGTAAGAAATAATTTGAATGCTCGAGAGGGAAGCTCGTGAAGAGGTTTAGTCAAAAGAGTGTAAGTACCCCTCACAAAGAAGAGTCATATATTACTTTTCTTAGATTTGTGAGTTATAACATGTGGAGTTGTTAGAAGTCTGAGAAAGATTTGAGATTTGAAAGTACAATAAATAAAGCTAGAAAGAGAGAACCCCGAAGAGATTGATGAGTCTTTTTGTTGAAAAACATATTATGAGAAAGGCCAGAAGAAATAGTTAATAATTTATCATGTTAGGTCATCTTTTATGAATAAAATAAGTAACTCAAATCAGAAAAAATTGTGAAACTGAAAAAGCATGAGGAGAAAAGTAGGGGAGGCCAAGAACCCTTCATACATCCACCCACTTCTTCATGTGCTCTTTCAACATTTGATTCATTTCTTTGTTTTTATTCATTTTCTCTTTTCTTCTTATGAATTGTCACTTAACTCATTTTAGCCATTTGGCATCTCTCTGGAATCTTTCAATTTCAACTTTATTTGCCATTCCTTTTCATCGATCAACATCCTTGATAAAAGAAAAGGTGTGATTTAGGAGTTCGATTGTTTTAAACAAAACGTTTGTTTTTTAACTGTTAAACATGTTTAGATTTTTTCATTACTTTTTTAGCCAAATACAATTTGAAAACGTCAATACAAACGCATATAAAATTAGCATTTCTTTTTTTTTTTTGCGTTTTAATCTGAATTTAAAATCAAAATATTTTATAATCTTCTATTCCTGATTGGTATGCGTGATAATTTAAAAAAACTAATGTGGCGTTTTCTAAAAACTTTTTGATGCACCAATTAGTATTTAAAGTTAATTACTTGGTCAGAAAAAGAGAAAATTAACTTTTTAAAACTAACTCACGTTTCAAAAATTTGAAATTAACTTTTTGTATTCAAAATTACAAAAATATCCTAAATAAATCAAACACGTACCATGTTTTTAAATCATACTCCCTCCGTTCCAATTTACTTGATGTTTTTAAGTTTATTCTGTGTTTCAATATAGTTGATGTTTTGATACTTTTTATGTGAAAAAATAATTTTAAAATCTGATTAAAAAAACTCAAAACCAGATACTATTAAATGACAATCCTTTTTTCAAAAGTTAACTACACTTTACGATATAGTCAACCAATTTAGTTTTTCTTTCAATTTAATGCTCAAATTTACTACATCATTCAATTACAATTTGTTTCTTCTCAAACTTGCTATAAAACCAATAGTAACATACAGCTTTCGTTTTTTACCAACCTTTTTTTTAT